TACCCTTGGAGTCCCCTGTGGTCATGCTTTCAACCAAAGTAACAGGGGTCACTGTTAGTCACAAAAATAGTTTCTGGTGTTTGGTGTATTTGGTCCTGCTGTATCAGGACCTTCTCATCTCACCTACTTTCCATTTGTATCAACAAGACACGAAAATAGAATTACAGCAGCAATTTACACCACACAGGGGTCTCAGCTTTTTCCTGACCATCTCAGCCAAGTGACAGCACCTTACCCATTCTGATCACCACCAGAGAATGCATTCGTCCAGTTAAAAGACATGAAGGAGCCACACACTTTCACATTGTAAATCTCTGGGAAACAGAGCCCTTTTACACCAGTGCACTACCTTAAGGTGAAACAGCAGATACTCAGTCACCAGCCACATACCAACTACTCAGAAGGCCAGACTAGGTTCTCTTGCTGACTAACCAAAAATTATATATATTAACTGGGATAAATACTTTAAAATTGTTTGGGGTTTACATCCTGAAAGGCATTTTAGGGATTTAAAAAAATCACCTGTGGTTCTGACTCCAAACAACTGATTTCTCTCTCCAGAAAGCTGTTTTTTTCATATAAGTTTCAATACTTTTTTGAGATTATAAACTGCAAGACAGCAGTCACAGCAAGGAAGATGAATTACAAAGACAGACTACTGTAATTTGGCATCAATAACACAAGGCCTAAAAAAATAACAAAGTGCATTAAAAGTTCAGGACCAGAGGCACAACAAAGAGTTTGCAGTAAAAAATTTTATAAACTGCTACAGCCAAAAAGAACATGGTTGGGAAAGCTTCATAGCCACCAAGTACAAACCCTGACATGCAATGGCCAAGCAATCATTGACTAAATGGCCAATATTCATTGACTAAAACACCAAAAAGCATGAAAATTCAGAAAGAGCACTAGAAATTTGAAACATCATTGCATAGTACTGACCCACAGGGTGAGTTCTGAGCTTCTTGTTCAGAAACCATCTGCCACGCAAAGACCACATGGCAGTTGATTCACTCAGACACTACTCCAGCAACAACAAAAAAACCTTCCAAAGAGCTGCCATGGAGTACTCCAGTGGCAGATTAGCTATTGTTAGGAGACTCTGCATGTTTGAAGGATATTTCAGGCAATACAAACTGCAGAGGGAGAGGATAAAGACTTTTTCAACAGCACAACCACCAATTTCTTTTAAACATACCGCTCTATTTTCTGAAGTTACTTTTTAATAGGAGTTTGGAAGCTATTCTTCCCCAGGGACCCATTTCCCATCAATTTCTTATCCAGATTTATTTTCCTGACAAGAAGCAGCAGACGACAATTGGGTAAGGGATCCCTACCCCAAGAGTGACCCAGTGGGCTGGGGGGACCACATGCACCCAGTACTGGGCAAAGCTGTCACTCAGAACTGCATGCAGACACACATTTCTTCATTTCCCACCCTCACCTGACTAAAGGTTCAGTCACAAGCAACGTTTTCTTATTTTATTTAATTTTTAAATGTTTTTTCCGTAACCTGTTTCCTCAGTTGCCTAAATCCACTCCTTCCTTTGCTCCCTCTCGTGCCCTTCACCTCTCTCTGAGCTCAGGTTTTACCAATGACTTCTCTTGAGGAATAGAACTGGGGCCTTCCCCATCCTCCTCCTACTTTGTATCTTTACATCTTTATCTTCTCTCCCTCTCCCAGAGAGCCCCATCTCAAAGCCCACACTCATTAGGCATTAAAGCAGATGTGCCTCAGGGAAAGACCAAGGTAGAAGCACTGTCATTCCATCTTTTCTACCAAAAAGTAACTCTCTGATGCTCTCCACTGAGCAGCTTTTATAGAAGGCCAAAGCTTTGTGTGTCATGTTCTTTCTTCCTGCTGTATTCTGGGAGTTTTGAATCAAATCTTCATAGACTTTCAAACTACTAATTCTGTGTGAAACCGGACACAGGCAGAGGACAAACACGTAGGATCATCCACAGAGACAAACAATCGGGAAAAAAATCTCTCAGTGACCTCTCCTCGAGAGCAGGGCTAAAAGAAAAGAGTTTCAGGTCAATATCGAGTCACTGCAGAATGGGACAGTAGTGAAAAGGCCCAAGGAACTTTCTCCCCCAAAACCTGATCAGCTAAGGTTTGAAGATACACCACATAAAATCTTCTCGAGACCACGACATCATCGAACTATATCCAGCACTTTTCTACTTGATGTGAAATTCTACTGAAACACACACATTCATCTTCATTACTAGACAGAGGATGGTGGCAGGACTCTGAAGGAGAACCAAAACAAATGTAAGTTTTGCACAGAAGCAATTCTGTGTCGTACAAAGGGAGGCTGTTTTCAGGTTCTCCTTGGTTTATGAGGAAGCAGTGATTTTAGAAAGCTTGGAGCTCAGATGGAAAGACAATGAAAGCTTTAGAGCACATAGGAAGATATGTCTGAGTAAGAGCAGCTTCAAAAATTCTGATTTTTAGCCTCACAAATTGCTCTTTCTCCTTGTCTTATTTTATGATGGAAAACAGCAAGAGCATACTAAATGGTTGTGTTCCTACTGGAATTTCTAAAGACTTAGACTAGCTTACACTAACAAATATTTTCATCCTTCCAAGTCTGAAAAGCTTGTTTACAGTGAAAGTGACCAATCCCCTGAAACAATAAAACATCTGATTTTCCTATTGAAATGGATGTAGATGTACTTCAGCATCTCAAAAGTATCCTGTCTGAGCTAATAATGCCCTGTATCACAACTCAATTTGTGAGGTCTCTTTACCTCCTACAAATTAAAAAAGTAGCTCCGAAACACAAGTCTTGATGCCTGCATCTATGCCATTCATTTCACAGGGAAGGATTTAATTTTGCTGTCCACAGAGCCAACATCAAGAACTCTTCCTTTTCAACCCAGCAAAAACTTTGCCAGTGCTCAGTGCCCACACAGAAGCTGTTAAGCTCAAGGCTCTCATGGCAGTTCCACAGCCAGAGTCTCCCCTCACATCTGTCTCCATGAAGAGCTGGGCTGAGTTAAAATTTCTTCCCAGAATACATTTTTTTCCAGCATATGAGCACTTCAAAGGCCACACAATTATTATTTGAATTTGAAGTTAGCACCAGCCTTTCCCAAAATATTTTGGTCGCAAATAACTGTATCAGTAAATAAATTAATCAGTAATATTGAGAATACAGGGCTGCCTTTTTTCTTTTTTGCCAAAGGGGAAAAAAAAATGCTGTTGAAGCAGAATCCATTATGAACTGCAAGACAATACACAGTCCAAAAGTTACATCAGAGTATTCTCAGTCCTGCCAAATGCATCTTTACTGAAATTGTTTAGTTGGAAGAAGGTGATGTATCATGCCATTATTAGGAATGTATCAAATATTTCTTCAGTAGGTCTTGGGTTTGCAACTGTAACAGTGAAATATTACACACATATTGCCATCTCATGGATACTACAAATACTTGTTTAAAATTCCAGGAACGCAATCCCTGACAGAAAAAAATATGTAGAATCCACAGCAAATAAAATTGTAAAGATTTACAACGTGAAAGCAGGAACTTCACATTTGAAACAGTCCAAAAATCTGCCTCAGATTCTCTCGTAGTAGTTACTATTTTTATGACTTGGCTCAGACTTGCTTTAATCTCTTTATTTAGGGAGAAATTGCAAGCTTGCCAACTCTAGCAAATGTTAAGTACTTCAGTAAATTCCCCATCAATATAGGTCGTGCATTCGAGGGAACAAGAATGTGGTGAGTAAGTTCTGCTCCATCTCCTCCAAAGAGGATTTCAGAATAAGGCAGTGACGGGAGAGAGAGATAAACAACGTGGCTAAGCCCCCCTTTCAGCTCCATCCTCCTCTCCAGACATCTGTCCACACTGCGTTGTGCCGTGATTGAGATGTTCTGCGATGCAGCTCGCCCAGCCTGCCGTTATCCTACATCCCTTTTATCTGAGCAGGCAGGAGAGCAAATGTATTGCCAAGGCTACTGCGTCGTCACTCTTCCATTAAAGTTCAGTAACAGCACGAGGCGAGTTCCAGCGAGTCAGCAAAACCATAGGAAAGCCAACAGATGCAAAGACGCCTAAGTATGGAGGATGAATTCAGAAACAGCCCGAATAGCCTGTGCAGGCTTTCCGGAGCACCTCCGCCAAATTGCCTAAACCCACCGAGTCCTGTCAAACCCTGACTTCTGCTTTCAAAAAGAACTTGGCAGCCAACAAACCGAACCGCGGATCTTTTCCCAGGCTGCGCTCGAACAAACGCATCTCTCTACCCAAAGGGCTCGGACAAGCAAACAGACAAGTTTCGGGTCCCTTCCCGCACTTCCCCGGGCGGGACCCGCGGCTGTCCCCGCACGGGGGGACGGGGCCGGCGGGCACCGGGCAGCCCCCGCGCCGGGGGACGCGCTCAGCCGAGCGGCGGCCGCCTCTCCCCGCGCTCCCCCGGGCTGCGGAGCCCCGGCCCTGCGGCTCCCCGCCCAGAAGGGTCCCCGGGCCGCCCCTCCGCCCGCGGCCGCCGCGCCGGAGGCTCTGCGGGGACGCGGCAGCGCCTGCCCCGGGCGGGAGCCGAGGGCACCGCGACCCCGCGGCGGCACAGGAGGGGCGGGCGGCCCCGGCTGCCGCTGCGAGCCGGAGGAGAAGGGGGAAGGGGGAGGCAGGGGAAGAAGCCATTACCAGAGTTTTGTTCCCGTTCTTGCTGAGGGGGCCGCGGAAAACTCCCTTGATGTTGCGAAAGTGCCCGTTGCTGAGATGCGCGGAGCTGATGACAATGTAGTAGCACTCCATGGGGCCGGGGCCGCCTCCTCAGGCCGGGCTCGGCGGGGCTGGGCGGGGAGGGCCGGGGCCGGGGCCGGCGGGGGCCGGGGGTGCGGCCCCTCAGGCGCGGCGCGGCCGCGGGAGGAGGATGCGCGGCGGGGCGGCCGCGGCGGAGCCGAGCGAGCTGCCGCCGCCGCTGGCAGGCATAGTGCTATTATAGCGAGCAGCCTTGCCGGTCGGCTGCACTGAGCCAATGGCAGGGAGCCACTGGGCTGGTACCGAGCGCTGTCAGAGGAGGACATCTGTCACACGCCGCCTCCACCGCCACCCACCGCCCCACGCCCCGCTGCCCCCGCCGCGGACGGGCCGGCGGCAGGTAAAGGGGGACGGGAGGGGGGAGAGGGCAGAGCCGGCGCCCCAACCGCAGCGAGCCCCGCAGGTGGGGTGTGCCCTCCTTTTTCCGGGGGTGGGGACGACGACGAGTGTGATTCCTCCGGGATTCGGGGGGGTGGGCATGGAGAGATGCCCGGGGTGCGACGCCCCCAGCCCGACGCTCCCGCCCTCCTCCTCCTCCGAGCAGCCTCCGCGCCCTCCACCGCGCCCTTTTCTTTTTTCTGACATATTTCTCCAACACCCCACTCCACCTGCCCGGGCCGGAGCGATCCCCATCGGCCGCCGCCCCCGCCCGCCGCTCTCGGCTCCTCTGGCCCGTGACAACGTAATTGGGGGAAATCGGTCATTTCTCATCCTCGCTCGGGGTAAGCTCCATCCCGCCCTTCGCTGGGCTGCGGCCGCCGCAGCCCATCCCCGCCGCATCCCGCCCGGCAAGCTGCAGGATCAGGAGCGGGCTGGCAAAACTTCTGGGTCACGGCATCGGGAAGCGTTTGGGGCCGCATCCTCCCTTCCCAGGGCTCCCGCATCCCTCCTCTTTGGATGCCCGCATCCCCCCTTTCCAGGGCGCCCACATCCCTGCTCCTTGGGGGATCGCATCTCCCCTTCCCGGGGCCCGCATTCCTGCTCCTTGGGGGATCGCATCTCCCCTTCCCGGGGCCCGCATCCCTCCTCCTTGTGTGCCCGCCTCTGCCCCGCGGTTACTCACGGTTCTCCGGGCCCGGGGCCGCCGGCGGAGGCGGCTCTGCCCACCCGGCCTCGCAGGGCTTGGGCGTCTGCAAGGAAAAGGACAACAACCATGGTTTCTCGCAGGCTCTGGCGCAGACTCTGCGATCCTCAGCCTCAACGCCCGTGTAATGTGCTCTGCTCGGTTCTACAAAGCCCCCAGCAAACTGGACTAAAAACCATTAGGTACATCAGCATGAGGTAGCTATAGGATACCCCTATTCCTTCACCAGAATAAGCGTTCCTTTCTTTTTGCAGCACACAAACCAGAGCTGGCTTCCGTGACCAGAATTTGCCACAGTGTAAGATGTGCACAAGAAAGATGCTAAAGTGTGGTTTGTTGTTTTGTTGGTGCTTCCCCCTCCCCCCCGCCCCATAAGATATCTGTGATTTGGAGCTTTCTCATGTGAGGTGTGAAATACTCTTGGCTGGCTCATCTCCCAACTTGCTTTACCTTTATTCTGCTTTGTAAAAATCAAGATTGATGGGATGAATTTCCAGTGCCAAAAGAACGAACACCTTAGAAAAGCAGCCCAGAAACATGATGTAACATCTGAACATGTCTCTTAGTCAGCATTTACTGCTGGCAACATAATAGCAGTGTCCTATCATCTTGTCCTCCAAAATAGATGAGCTGCTGCCAGAAGATTCAGGATGGGGACACAATACAAAACATTTCCCTGGCACAAACTGTCTCAGGTGTTTGCATCCTTGATGAAGGAAGCCCCAGTTTTTTGAGATGTGCCCCCTTCTGATAAATATCTTCTATCATTACCTCCGGTGGTACACAGTGAATAGTAAATTTTGACAGCTGTCACTCATTCTTTGGCATTTCCAGCTCTTAGGAAGGAATTACAGAAATGGCAAAAGTGGAAAGTTTTGACAGCTGAGCCACAGGTGAGAGATCAGAATTTGCTGCGTCTTGTTACAGCCAAAAAAAGAGTGTCATAATGTACATGCACAGTAACATGATTTTTCTGGTTATGATGATGTACGTGTACATCTAGAAATAACCAGCAAGTTCGTTGCCATGTGAAAATCAAGTCAATATTATAAATACCTGATAAATTTAAAAACACAGCACACTTAAGGGCTGGTTCCCCTTCAGACGGAATCATGGGTGTCGTTCCCTCTCAAAAAATATCAGAAGTTTAGGTATGATAGAGTAATGAAAAGCCATAAAATGATGCAAGAAATAAAATTAGGCAACTTTTTCCTGGGAATAAATATATTTCAACTTGGACTAGAACAATTTTTTCCGCCTTCTAAATAGAACATTACTGATATGTGAGGACCCTTCTGCCTCGGAATGAAACTCCACACATCCACCATCTCAAAGAACTGGAACCTTTTTCTCTGAAATCCTTGCACAGACACATTTACTCACAACTTCTACAGCCATACCTGGGCCCTTTCAGGCTTGTACAGCTGCTCTCTGGCCTTTCAGAGACGTGCAGGCACTGCTTGCACGCTCTTGTTAAGAGTCCAAGGACTTGGGAACATCTTGCAGCAGCAGAGGAATAACCTACTTCCACAGCTCAGGTTTCAAAGGTTCACCCTGCTTTATACTAAACAGAAGTGAGAAAAAGCATTAAAAGCTGCTATAGCTTCTGCTCATGAAAATCACGGTCTTCCTCTATTAAGGGAGGGAAAACCAACAAACAATTAAAAACCAACTGATTCCTCCAAAGCACTAAATAAACAAAGGACAAGCCTAAATAACACCAAACAAGCAAAATATATATTTTCTAGTCCTGCCTATTCTGGTTGGCACTTTTTTTTCTTTTTTTGGCTGATCTCTGATCTATCTTAACCCTTCACCTAAGTTTTCTTGCCTCATTCTGTTTATTATGATCACACAGACTCAAGATGCTGCTTCGTTCCCAAATCTTTTATTTTTAATAAATTGCTGATTTCATAATCTCTAATGCTATGGCTTCTACCTACCATCAGTCTTCCCCATTTCCATCCCTGTCCTGTTCTCCTGGGTAAGTATCTGGGGTTTCAGCTCTTTATATTGCTATTTATTCAAATCTCTGCTATGTAATAATAACCAGTGCTGCTTATTTACTCATTCTCTTATTCTTCTCTTTGGGAAAAATCTCCAAGGAGTTGTTCTTGTATAAAACAGCAAATACCAACTCAAGAAACAGGCTATGGATTTGAGAGATTTTCTGGAAAACTTGTGAACTAGAAGCCAGTGAACAAATAAAACTAATTCTTGTGCATTCTATCATTTTTGTGCCTGTGAGTATACTCAGTATTCTTCATTCTAATAATATTTATTATTTAAGAAATAATCCTAGCATAACCCAGAAAAAATATTCAAAAGTATAAACTCTTTTGGTTTACGGTTTTTAAAGCATGGCACAGCATAGGTGTTACTAACATATCCTGAGAAATCATTCACTCTCTTCAAGCATACCCATCAGGGATAGAAAGGAATATCTGTGCTTAAGTCACAAGGAACTCAAAATTAAGTTCCCACAGCAATTCTTAGTTAATTCAACAAAATTCACTTTATCCTAAGAATATCTCCTTGTTAGTAATCTGCTGCCTGAGACACACCTTTTTACCATCTCCTGCACTTTCAGTCTCCTTGTACTAGTCTTTTTCTTTTTTTTTTCCTTTTCACCGAGCCCTGTATGTGTTTCCCTATTTCAGATGCCCATCATCCTTGCACGAAGCAGAGAGAAAGCTGGGAGTATCCCGAGTACCTTTTAAAAGCCATTATGGGGTAATGTGCATTATACAGTGTATTACAAGTGCATTCATTCATCAGCTGTGGGGGTGGTAGAGCAGGATAGAGGAAACTGGGATACTCTGGTAGCCGAGTTCCCAGCACATCCTCCATGGTGTGTCAGGAGTATCAGAGTGGGCTCCCTGTTCCAACACTTGAGCTGAATGGAGTGCTGGAATCACAAAGCTAAGAAAGGCAGCAGTGCCTTAAAGCCCTGCAGCTCCCAGAGTTGTATCACAGGGAGAGCCCTGGGAAGGCTTGGTCTAGCATTTCAGCTCAATCCCAAAAGTAGCAGCAAAGATTTATCAAAACATACTCTGTTTTCTTTCTTTGGTCCTTCAGCCCTTCAAAGCACACAATTTCACACCACTGCTTAATTAGAACAGCTCAGGTGAAAAGCTTGTCCAGCAAGAATCGTCCCCTCCCTCTTTTCACATATCCACATCTGTACCTAGCACCACATTCCTGTGCTCAGAAATGCAAACACTTCTCTGCTCCTGCTTTTCCCAGTCACCAGTATTACCACTGCCTGCTTTAGGATACTATTGGGAAAAACTGTTTTGTTACTGGATATAATACACCATTCTCTGTATCTTCTCTTCTTAATGTTTATTCTGCAGAATTTCCCCAACAGAACAAGGACACAGCATCTTTTTGTTTTCTCCTCTAATCCATTCCTAACAAATAAACCAAACCGGACAAATAAAAATTCAAAATAAAATTGCAAATGACACCCTGAACATGAGATGACACCAACAAGTAACTGATGTACTATAATAGTATTAAACAGCAAGATATTTTTACAAAGGCCAGAAAACACCCAATGACCCAAGCCAAAACACCTGATGGCTGCACAAGCCACTCCTGAGCATTTCAAACACTGAAAATGCAATTCACTGTGCTATGTTAAACATTTCCATAGAAGCAAATCCTCTGTCAAATAGAGTGTGAAAAGCAAATGGAGCCAGCAACTGGAAAATGAATCCCCAAAACAGTCTGTCATGGAATTACGGTTTCCCAATATCCATTCAAACCGAATATCCAAGTCAAATCCTAACAGAATAAATGAAATTAAACTATCCAACATCATAAGAAAAAAATTGGATTTTATCTCCGAGGAAATGCCTCCATCTCCAGTGGAAGGTGTCCCTGCATGTGACAGGGCAGTTTTTAAGTAGTTTTGTTTTTCAGATGATCTTTTTTAAATGGTCTTTAAGGTCCTTTCCAATCCAATCCATTCCATGACTTTTCCCAACTGACTGCTATACAAAATCTTCTCAGTTTCACTTCTCTAACAATCTAGCACAACAGTGCAAGGAACAATTGTTCAGTGATAACACAAAAAAACTCATTAAAAAAATACACCCTTTCATAAATCAAAAAGCAGAAGCCAGAAGACCACAGAATGGGTGTGATTCTACCAAGCCACCAGCCAAAGCTCAATAAAATCCAGCAGGTAAGGTACACAACTAGCATTACATTAAAGCAAACAAGACATGAACACCATAAACAATATCCAAAGAGATTTCAAGCAGTCATTCTGCATCTGGTGCTTTTCTGGAGATGGAATTGACTACATAATGAGCACCAAGTTTTCATTTTTAATCAATTACATTTTTTAGAATTTTATCCAGTTAAGACTTGCTTTGTTAAAAAGTACACCATTTGCAAGATACTTAAGAAATTAAAATATTTTATGAAAGTAAATGAGACATTAAGGGAAAACCTGATAAAAGGAAATCCACAAATAAATAGGAAAATTGTAAATTTTGAAATCTAGGATAGCAGATGATTTGTGGCCATTTATTACAACCAGATTATTTTCCCTGCCAACAGCCACACAATTTTTTTCCAGAGTTAAAAAATCTGGAGTCTAAAAAACTGATAAAAAATATTCCATAGTCAATTAGAAACTTCACATCTGTGAGCTTGGGCTCCTTTTCTGAAGCAGTAGGTATTTCTGTGGGAAGAAACCCTGAAGTTCACACCAGGAATTGGCATTAGCTCCAGACTTTTCCACTGGGTGGTGGTAATGAGATCAGGAAGTTCAGGAGAACCCTGAGCACCACCAGTATTCACTCATTTCTGTATTCATTCATTCGATCACTCTGTCTCTCCCTCCATGCACACGTTCCCACCCGATGTGTACACATGCCACGCTGGAAACCTACTGGCACAGCAATGAAAGGATGAACAGAATCGGTCTAAAATTTTTCAGGGCTGGACTATAAAATTAATCTTAACACAGTTTGCTGCTTTAGCATTCGGTTAAACGACATCATTTTCTCAGTGTAAAACCTGAAGAGAGTTGAGGTGAGACAGATGACAGGTCAGAAAATAGCGCTATTTATTCCTGAACGAGCAGGTATAAATTAGAGCCCCACTGGAGGAAAAAATGCTCCAGAGATTCATATTGTAATACATTTCATCGAGTTCAATATGTGACGTGCTATGATGGCTTCCTTTTTCATGTGATCTGTAATTGTCACAGAAGAGAATGGAAATTAAATTTAAAATGTTGTGTTTACTTTCCCAACGTTACACATTTCAGCAAGATCCATTTTTCAAAGTGGGAATGTTTGGCATAATCTGAAAATCAAAGCCCTTTACAATATTTATGGTTACGACCTCCCAGCTTAAAGCACCATAAATCACATCAGGCATTAACTGGTTCACTTTCACAGGGCACCAGTTGTAACAATACCAAAACACAGTACAGTATTAAGCACGTGCTGGGGAAGGATATTTCTAATACTATATAATCTGATGCATTGCCATGCTTTTAAAACCACACCATTTTTATTAATTATGATTTAAATACTGGTAGATAGTAGAGTCCAGTAACAGCCTTAAAGTCCTTTTTTGGCCCTTCTGAGTTGCTTGATAGATGGTTGACACTATCAGCTTACTGTCTGAAGGGCCCTGTTTATTCATTAGAACAATTTCTTTTCCCTAATAACTCATGACTTACCAATCTGTCTGCTGTAGTGAAAGAATGTAATTACAAATTGGCATGTTAAAATACTATCAAAAGAATTTAATCCAACTTGCAAAATATTAATAAGTTATGTGTTTAATTAAAGATAACCATATCAAAATATCTCAAGTACATTATAGATTACTAGCCTGAAAAAATAAATGTGGCAAAAAACCAAGTCAGTATTGCTCTAAAAATAGGGAGGACTTCCAAAGCCCAGTGTATCTGGTTTGGCATTTGGACAAGGAAAAAAAATGTCTACATAATTCATTTAAGAACTTACTCATTGCTCCAAGCTATATAAATCATGCCAAGTTTTACCAAATGCATTTTTCCTTGAGTATCTGTAAGACCTGTGTGATCACAGAAGACAAGGCAAAAGACTATTAACAGACAACTGCCATGGGTAAACTACAAATCTGTGTCCAAACAGCAACATGAACACTTCTTTCTTCATCCAGTTTTTGGGGTGCCTTGGAGCTAGGGTGCTCTTGTATTGCTGAGTCCTGAATTAACAATCCTCATCTGGGGGAATAAAGTATCATAACTATTAATGACTACACATTAGTTTAATTAAAATAATGAGTACTCTGACATCATTTATTTATTATTAGAGTGCAGCACATTAGTTCCATGATTTTTCTACTCTACAGCTTTGTTCACATGGTCTTTTGGATCAACAATTTCTTGTGATAGTTACATGGGAAGTGCCATAGAAGAAAAATCTTCTCCAGTTTTAAAAGATTATGTTCCACTTCCTTCTTTGCATAATCATTACACAATGTATGCATGCATATATATGTATATACACACATATAAACATATATATGTTTGGATCATTAGTAGTTTAATTTTCTACTTTCATTATTGCTATGTAACACGCTCCAGTGTCACTTGACATATTTCTGTAACTGCATGTTACCTTCTCTCCACACAAACCTGAATCTAGTACAAGATATCTATTATCTAGACCTACACTCAAAGCATCATTGCTTTTACAGAATTTCAATATCTAAATATATTAAATTACCCTTGAACTAACCTTAGCATCAGCATTCCCACTAGAACCAGTGACCCTAAGGCATTCTAAATGCCTGAAGTTAAGAGGAAAAGAAAGTATAAAATGTCTTAAAAGTCAAAACACAACTGAACTATTCCCTGGAAACCCATGTGCTACAGTCTTTACAGGAAAATGCATTTACTTTAAAAAAAAACAGCCAAACCAAAAAATACATGCAGAAAGAAAAAAAAATCTGTACTCAAATTGTCACCACTCTGGAAGAAATATTGTTTAAACTTGCTGATCTTGAGTTAGTTTGAAACAAGAAAAACAAAAACCCAACAAAGCAACAAACAACCAACCAGCCCAGCCTCTAAACCAACAAAAATACTTCCACCCTACTGGTTTTGAAGCCCATCTTTGGATTTGTACCTTGTATTTATTAAGCCTGAGCCTGGCAGGACAGTCCCTCACTCCCTCATGATGCCTAAACCTGCCACTTTTAAATGCCTGTGCTTCTACCTCTTTGTCAGCTGGAAATCACCATCAATTATTTGACCTAACACTGAAATAAAATATTCTTCAAGCTTTTCTCTCCCTTTTTTTTATAAATAATCATGCTTTATTGCAAGACACTGACATCTCTGCAGCTTCTGCTGGTAAAGCTTTATTGTCATTACTTTAATGCTTGAACATAAATTGATTCCTTGAGCTTCCTAGTTATTTTTGTACATCTTCTCTAAATTCCCTCTGCTCACTTTCCTGAGTGAATAATTCTCTTATAAAAGTGTATTTGTATCCAAATGACCATAAGCGTAATGTACTTGCAGGCAGATTATATTTAAAAATCAACCCTTAAAGACAGCAATTTAAGTTTTTTGGTTGGATATTCATCTCCATTATGCCCTCCATGTTATTTTCAGAAAGCAAAACATTGATTAGTTTTGGAATAACACCCTAAAGGTTGAAAAGCAGGAGCTGTAACAAAATTATCTCACTGAGGGTCTTTGAGAATAAAAATAATGCTCAGGGAGTGCCACTGCAAAATGAGATTGCATGTAAGGATGCAGGGCACACATTTACCTCTATGCTGCTGCTCCTTCATCTTTCTGGCTTTCCACTCGTGGAGGTTCTCGTGGGGGCTGACTTTGGCACTCCAGGCTGCCCTTGCACTCTCCCCTCGTGGCTGGCAAGCCCATCCTGGCTTTTTATAGGGACCACAGATTGCTCTCACACCCACAAATTGCTCTTCTCATTGCTTAAATTCTAGCACAGTCAATTCTTTACCTGTAAGTGATGCTTCATTTTTCCTACCATTTCTCATCTGCAGTTTACTCGCCCTTCACATGAGGAACTAACAAGAAAGCCAAGAGAAACCCAAACACTATTTGTATGAATTTATTAGCAGGAAGCCAATTTTTGCTCAATATTACAACCGTGCATTTTGGATTTAACAGAACATTCCTCAAACTGAAGGCCAGCAGAGAAGTAAGTGGTTTTTGGACAAAGCATTTTCTGCCCTCGTGAAAACAGCAGCAGGAAACAAACTCCAGTGGTCAAAATTGGATCATAAAGATGAAAAACCATATGTGTTTCTGGTCTTTAAATTGCTACTCTGCAGAGTGATAAGAGACATCATATAGAACCTTATCAGGATTTAATTTCCTAACAGAAATGAGAAAGGAATGTGCAAAGCCCCTCTTACATGAGCTAGCATTAGATTGCCGTACACGATAAAAATATCTTAACAGGCGTATACCTAAAGAAGATTACATCCCATCTCTCCTTCCTGAAGATGCTTTCTATATACAAATTCTTTTAAAAATAGCATATTTCTGGTTTTCTGTGCATGACTGTGTTCTTCAGGAGATGTTTTCTGGCAAAACCCTCCTCACAGTTACCGTATCCTTTTAGTGCTTCCATAATAATACCTTGTAAAATGCTCTTAGTGTATGAGGTTTATGAATGAAACCTGTCAAAGTATATGTACCACAAAAACATTTGCTAAATTTCTTTGAAATTTAATTCTTGGCTGTAGTCTGTGTCACAAAGGTTCTATAATAAAGCCACCATCACTATGTGAAAAACCTTGTTTGTATGCATTTGTATTTTGTACATCTTTGCCACGTCATTCTGCATCCCTTTCCTGACTTTTGTATCCTAAATATATTTACTAACCACCCCCCACATTCTGTTTTATTTCTAGTCTCTACCAACCACCATGTTATTTTCCAGAAAAACTCAAATTTCCAAAGGGTTCACTGTGAGCAACGTTGCCCTTTTGATCATGAAAATGAGCACATTTTCACACAAATTTTATACTTTTCACATTGTGATATATTTACTGCAGGGACATTATAAAGAGCATTTACAAACAACACGTAAACATGTTCAACATGCTACAAACACGTTCAGCATCCATGTGGGGCCTCTGGGAACAGTGGAGACAAGCAGAGCTCTGGATTTGGGATTGCCTGCTCTGCTGGGTAATGGGCAGTATTTTTGGACAAGTGGCCATAGGAAATGAGGGATCCCCACCCTCAGCTTCACCTTTTCTCAGCTCTCCAGGTTTTGCCATTTCTCCTCCTTGTGTTTCTAACCTAATCTAATTCTTAGAACCTAAAATACCTGTCACAACAGTCAGAACAGGATTATTTGCTATTCCATAACATGTGCTGCTCTCATTTTGCAACACTAGGAGTGCCATAAAAAGGAATAGTTTTCCATCTTGGATTTTTGTTAGATAAATTTAAAAAGGCTAATTATTAATAAAACACACTAACATATGTACCCCTGAACAGACTAAGACTGTGCCCATCCTACCTTGTTTTAACAATTTCTGAGTTCTATCCTCCCATGCTTAAATATATACCATAAATGCTTTCTGCGAGTTTGGTTTTGTGGACTTTTTATGACACTGCTTCCTAGAAACATCTCGGGGAAGGGCTTGGCTCTTTCCTCCCTGCTCTCCACATCCATTGGGATGATGAAGCAGCGAGGATTTCCCACACTTCTCTCCGGTGTGTCTCCTGCGTCAGGCTGTTCTGTGACTCTGCAAAGCACACTGCACATCTTGGTGCTGTGCCAAGCCTGCCTGGGAAGCCAGCCTCCCAACCAGCTCCTCATGCCACAACCAAAAATCACCCAACCTTACAGAAATACACTGCTGACTATACTCTGAAATACATTTTGGTGTGAAAAAGCTTCAGATAAATAAAAATTTCAGCAAAACCCGACCTTTCCTTGGACATACTTCAAGACTAACTGCAATGTTATGTTCCAGTTATAGAAACACCCCAAATGAATAAGCAGATATTTAAATTCTACAGATGCCACCCTAAGGAAAAAATTTAGTTAAACATAAATGGCATGATTACCTAATGGGCATAGCAAAATGTTAGGAAAGTGAAGTGTTTGGATAAAACAGCAATGATTAATTTTTCATTTAATTTTTTTCTCAAATATAACATACTTCTGGAGATGATACTTAGTGAACATACTCGTGGTTCCAGGCCCACACAGTATTTTAATTCCATAAGGTGCGTGGGAGGTTTTTTAAATCCACATAATTTTGTGTTATTTTCTTTTTACATGTTAAGTTATTATCATCAGATGGAGGGGAAATTAAACATTCTGAATGTGTTAAAAGCCTTGGTCTTCTTGACTCCTATTACCAACTGCTAACTATTGCTAAACTCATCCATTTTTGGAACATGAACAACCTTGATAACATCAGATGAAGACAAAATAAAAATAGAGCTTTGGCAAATCCTGTGAATTAAATTCCAGTATCTTGGAACACCGTGTAAAGCTCTTGATTGGTTTTGCAAACGGAACTCACTATATTAATACTGAAACTAACTCATTTCCTAACTTTGCTAAGAGCAGCCAGAACTATAGTCATGCTGGAATAGTGAGGAACTAAATAAAATCCAGGCTGTGAATATAGCTGTGATTTGTTTTTTCCTGGGGCAAGGTTTTGGGAACACCTTTCCAGAAAAGGTTTTGTGAAAATTATTCCTAAAAAACTTTATATCCAGTCATCCTTTCCTTTGGGGGCACATTATAGATGTTGTTTCCTCCTTTTTCTGAGAGTAGGCAGTAAAAGCCGTCTTTTCCATCACCTTCACTATTTGGCTTTTAAGATGACCAGAATTAAAAAGCATTTCTTTCTTCATACAGTCCTTATTTTGACATACAGTCCTGAGGAGAGCACTTGGATTTCCTCACTACTCAGACACACAGCAATAAAGATGCTTAATGAGCAGCAAGCCCAGTTTTTGCTTGTCTGGGTCATGTTTACATGATGTGACCATTTCAGGGGTGGCGCAAACCAACTGGGAATGCTGCAGGAGGTGCTCCTGTTCCCAGCTCTTGCTGGGTGGAGGAAGAAGCAGCATCCCTGGGAGGAGTCACTCTGGGACAGTGCCACAGGTTGTGGGCAGTGAAGAGCACCAACATTTCCATCACAGAGCCAAGGGGTCTGTCCTGCTCCTCGAGGCCCAGCTGAAAAGCCACCACTGACATCCCTGGGCTGCCCTTGGCTTCCTGCTGGCTCTTCCCTGGCTGCCATGGCCTGACAATGAGCACACATCTCAGCCCCAAAAAAAAGCTCCTCAGCTACCTTCTGACATATTAACATGTGAAAAACAGCAGGCATCAGAAACACCTGCGACAGCATCCGAGAGAGGCAGATGTAGATTTATATATAAAGGGTAGCTTATGCTGATGTGGATACAATAAAAACAACTCCAGTATGTATTATGTAAAATCCTTTACTTTCCAAAAATGGTATCAGCTCTAGAAAATCACATACAGTTTAGGTACTTTACTAATAGCTTTTATTTGGAGGAGCACTATATAAGTTTCTTTGCTACGAGGTGAGAAAATAGATAATTTTTAAAAGCATGAAATGCTTTAAGAACCACCAAATACCCTGAATTAATTAAATTTCAGATTTAAAAAAAAAATCCTCAAATGTCAGGTGATCTCACTGCAGTCATAAATATCTCAAAGTTATTATTTAATGCTTTCCTCTGTTCATAAGCCTCTTAGAACAGAAGCACATTCTCCAGAGATCATTGGCTTACTGTGTACCTAAAGAAATTAAGCTACAAGTCAATTATGGCAAATATATTTCATTTTCCCCCAGGAATGGGCAGGTGAAAGGGCTTAAGTTCAAATGGAAATTAGATTAACAATAATATGAAAGTTATTTAACCCCTAACTTATATAGTGTGGTCCTTGGGCAGCTTTGTGAATGCATTCACAACCAGTGCAGACAACAAAGCACATAGAGCATATACCTCAATTTTTGTTATTAATTTTAAATCCATTTTCAAGTCCTATCAGTGAACAATCATTTTCACTTGGTAACCATGTATTCTCTCAAGTTCTTTAAATAATATTTAAAACCTAATGTAAGCAACATGCAGCATTTACTGATGTCCATCAGTATCTCATATCACCACCCAAAACATGGAATACAACTCAGCAACAGAAGATGCCTTTCCACTGGAAAATTTACAGTGCTTTGGCTACAGCCTTTACTTTCCCTCTTCCAAATTAGTTTCATCATCATTTTGATGAACTCTTGAGTTAGGAGTGGTTTTGCTGTTTTGGGTCATTTTATCCCATAAGGTCTAACCAAAACCCATTTTTCCCCCAATTCTTTTAAAGCTCCACAACATGTTGAATATTACACTAGGGATAGTTTTGCTGTTGCTGGTTTTGCCTTCAGCAATATTGCAATTTAGTGATCCATAAAAATGAATGAGGCCACGCTTCTGGAAAGGACACTCCCATCCTTAAATGCACACCACTGAGGGGCCCTATTGGAGCCAGTGAGCACCAGCCCACACCACCTTAGGAAAACAAACCTTAAAACCTCTACAAGGAGTTTGTTGAAACCAAGATACAAAAATGCCAATGTGTTGGTAATAAGCAGAATCAGGAACTGGAGGTCTGGATGGCTTTGCTGGCAGATTTAAAATCAAGACTAAACCAGAGGTTGTCTATGGGCAAGGCTACCTGCTTCACAGACAGTGTGTGTACATCAGAAAGCAATTAAATCAGAGGCTTCAGCATTTGTTTTTGTTTGAATTGCAGTCAGTACCAACCATTGACCAATAACAGCATTTAAACAGCAAGCAAGCATTGTCATTGTTGGGCAGGGAAATTGAACCAGCAAAGATTAGGAAATGCACTTCAGTGGGAAGAAAGCTAAGCACAGGCATCAGTTATTTAGGGATTCAGTCGTGCCTGCTGCCCACAACAACAATAACAATTCTCTCTGCTGTATTTTCAGAAATGAGCTTTCTGCCAACAGTAACGCAGCAGCTGCAAACTCCACTAAAGATTTCAGCTTAATTACTACAGGATTCCTCCAAGCCCTGCTAAGCACTGACCTCACAAGGACTGGCTCGTGGCTCTGGAAGAGAGTGTGCAGCATCCTCACGTCCCCCTAACCAGAGCCTTGAGATGTGGAAAGCTTCATTCAAGCTCTTGACATGTTCACAAGCACCACCCCTGCTATTCCATGTCCTTCCGGCTCAGATATTCCTGCTACACACAAAGGCATTTCTTACAGTTTGTGCTGCCATCTTACAAACCCACAAAAAGCCTCTTGCTCCAGCACACGGTGACACATCCCTTGCCTCATCCTGCTCTTGGAGTTAATCAGGACTACAGCATGTTCCCACGAGAAAGAAGCCTTCATTGTTCAGTTGAGAAGCATAGATACACACAAATATATATTCTATCCATATATCTGCAACTATTGCATCACTTTCACCTCCAGGGAATGCATAAAATATTAATGCTTTTATAATATTGCATTATGTATTGCTGGATTACAATGTATAATCTTATAAAGGATCTTATAATGATTATCATACTAATAAGTTATAGACAAGAGACTCTGGGGCATATAAAAAGCATAGTCAACCTCTTATGGGTAAGCTCTTGTTTTAAGCCACACAACAGATCCCAAATAATACATGGACCCCTGCAACCATGGGCAGGAAAAGAGCTAAACCTTTTGAGTGGTACAGGGATCAGCTGCTGCTCAAGGAACTCCCTGCTCATG